AGGGGGCGGGTGAGGGAGATCTGACCTGTCACCTGGGACTTTCTTACCCCAGTGTTTCCAAACCACATCGCAAGGTCTACAGAGCCAGGTGGCATCTGGAAGAGTGTTTGTCCAACACATACATTCACACAACCTAGATTTGCTGGCTTAACGTGATTTGGTAGGAACTCATTCATGCTTTATTTAAAATTCCCCTCACTTGAGACTATGAGTGAGCTGGGAGTCTCTGAAAACAAGTCCTAGAGGAGACTTCTGGGAGAATCAAAGCAGAGGAGGGAGCCAAGGGCCTGCCATCAGCAGTGTGTGTCAGCTTGGAGATTCTGATATCTCCTCCGGGCTGAGCTCCTGGCTCGTTGTTGGAGAGACCAGTCAAAATGAAGCTCTGTTCCCCAACTGCTTTGTCTCTGCTGCCTGTCTTCCCTTTGGCCTCAGGATTCCCAGCTTAATTTGGGTCTTAGAAGAAGCAATTCTAGGCCAACTCCCGACTTCCCACCCTAGAAGGGAATGTTGCTCCCTTGGCCTGCTGTTCCTTTTCCCTCCTTCCCGGGAGCCAAGCCCCAGAGGAGGAGGTGGGAAGTTCTATATTTGGGTTGCCCAGAGTGCTGGAATGAGGTAGGGATTTTGAGAGCAGGACAGGGGGGTCCTTATTTGGTCTGAAGTATCCAACCTGGGCTCAGGACAAGGAGAGGAGCTGACAGAAAACTGGACCCTTTAAAGGCAAGAGGAGCTCGAGCTAAAAGGATATAAGCGAAGGGTCTTCTAGAAGGGATATGGGAGACATGGTGTCTCCCTAGGTTTCCATCTTTAAAAAAGATATGTTTGAGGATACAGCCCATTTGGGCACACTGAATCCCAATATTTAAAGAATATCATGGAATCAAATCAGGATGTCCATGTCTGAATGAGACCTAAACAAAGAGTGAAGCTGAATTATTTGAGAGAAGAGACTACTTGGGGGTTGAAAGCCCATGATCTCTTGAGAACAATCCCCCTCTCCCTTGTCTTAGAATGGTACTAACTTTCTTTGCTACCACTTGAGTGGCCAACGTGTTTTCCACACCTGTTGGATGTAGGGCATTGTACTAAGCATGTCACATGTAGGATCTCATTTAATTCTCATGACCACCAGTTCTTGGGTTAGGCATTATATGCATTTACAATTGAGGACACTGAGGCTAGAAAGGCAAAGTAGCTTGTCCAAGGTCACACAACCAGAAAGGGACAGTTGGAGTTTTATTCTGGATAGTTTTATTCTATATGACCTCTAATCCTGAACTATTTTACTCTGGGTAGCTAGACACAACTCCCCTTCTGAGATAAACAGGAGTATACATGAGGTCCACGGGCTTTCTGGCTCATCCTATTCCAAAATCTTTTGCTCTGGAAATCCTTTCCAGTTGTTCTTCTTGTGGCAAAATGAATTCTGGGAATAGAAACTCCAAATCCTGTTGTGATTAATGTGACCTATACCTCATTTCAAAGTCCACCATGATGCTGGGTGCCATATATTTAACAATGTTCTGGGTGCATTTCTCCTTCCTCCTCCCCCAGCATGCACAGATTGCCCCTTCTGGATTCTATTGTAGGAAACAGGAAAACCCTGCCCTCTTCTTCCTTCCTTTCTTTTTTTCTCCTCTCCTATTAGAAAACATAATGTATTTGTCAAAGGCATAGTGAAGGACCTCAGCCAATTTCCTTTGGTTTGTGGGTCAGTCTAGGCTGTTGCATCCTCTGAGCTTTGAGGTGCCCAGGATTGTTGGGGAGGAGTGTGGATGTGACAGCCTGGGAAGACCTGCATAGTCTCCTGAGAGGTTCTGCACATCTAGTATTCCTGGAGTCAGGCAGTGTTTGCAGATTCCATCTCCCTTCCTGAGGCTCATTGACCATCTAGGTCTCCATCTCCAGCTGCTCTTGAAAGATCAGAATGATGTATGAAAACTGCCAACTGGTCGCAGAGCTTCAGCTGTTGGGGACTTGCAGTGAGCTAGCAGTTAGCTTCAGCCTCTGCTCACCATACCACCCTTCTCCTTCATAGTGGTCTGCAAGAAGAATCTGGATAGCACCACAGTGGCTGTGCATGGTGAGGAGATCTACTGCAAGTCCTGCTACGGCAAGAAATATGGGCCAAAAGGTTATGGCTATGGACAGGGTGCAGGCACACTGAGCACCGACAAGGGGGAGTCGCTGGGCATCAAGCAAGAAGAGTGAGTAAAGGACCCTCTTCCACGCCTATTCTTGAGCGCCCTTTCCCCTAGTGTTGAACACATTCCCAACCACTTTCACTTAAGCAGTGGGGTGCTCAGAAAACCAGTTTTTGTAAAGGTAGTGTGGAGCACCCGCTGAAGAAGCTGAAGGGCACTGTGGGGCACAGAATAGGCCTGATTCCTCCCCACAGAGGACTAGCATCCTGTATTATTATAAGGCTCAGAGCTGGGAGGGGCCCCAAGAATTATTTAGTCCAGTGTCCTCTTTTTATGGATGAGTGGATGCAAACCCACAGCTAGTGAATACCTGAACCAGGACCAGGGCTCAGCACAGGGTTGTTAGCACACCAGCCTCTCACTCCGCATTGCTACCCTGTACCCGGCCAAGGGAGGTTATTCTCCTTCCTTAGAAATGCTGCAAACTGTCTATTCTTGTGCCTCCGATGGCACCGACAGGCCTTCTGGTCAACAGTGGCTGTTGGCAGTCCCCTAGCTGGTTCCTTGGCCTTAGAGGGATAGGCAGAAATGATATTTGAGTTACCAACCTTTCAGCCAAGGTCATTGCTCCAATGGGAGTGATTTGTCAGCAGATTTCTCTTTGGAAAGAATCTGATACTGGAACTGCTAAAGGAATGGAGGGGGGTGGGCAACAGAGGGCGATTTTTGATAAATGAGGTGTGAAAAATAATTTGGGGTGTTGTAACTGAATGACTGAAGGAAACATGAAGAAAAACAATTACACTGAGCTTTGGTTTCTCCACCTGTAAAATGGAAGGTGATCTTTGGGCTGCTTGTAGCTTTTGTTACTTTGGCTGGTATAATAGCCCCCATCCCCTGTATAAGATGAACATGGTATCATACCCTCACAATGCCAGCTCCATGCATATGAGTATTTCTTATCAAAAAGCATCTCATTGCATATTTATTCCCACGCAGGGCCCCAGGCCACAGGCCCACCACCAACCCCAATGCATCCAAGTTTGCCCAGAAAATCGGTGGCTCGGAGCGCTGTCCCCGTTGCAGCCAGGCTGTCTATGCTGCTGAGAAGGTGATTGGTGCTGGTAAGGTAAGACAGCTACTGGACATGATGAGGAGAGAGGAGAGAGGTTTTCTTGGACTGTGAGTGAGTTCCAGACCTTTTTGAGTCCTGACCTTAGCTCTACAGTGGGCTTTAACCTCTTCCCCTCTAAGACTCTAGAGTAGCCCTTTGCCCCTGTTGGTCTCCAAGAAGCTCAAATCACTCATGTGCGGTGACATTACTATTGTCTGTGGAATTGATGACTAAATCTATGGGCAATTCACAGGAGAGGAGTCTTAGTGGCTGAATGATGCATAAGTATGACGTCAGCGGTTTGAACTCATTAGTTAATCCATGGGGAAAAAGACGTGGTGACCTGCTCCTGGATATGTTTACAGCCTAGAAGAACTAGTTGGTGCATGGTGATCACTACCAACCGTTGTGATCAGGGCCATAATAGATGGATCCTGAACATATAGGAGACAAATGTGGAACAGAACTCAAATTTTTAAGAAGTCAGATTTACTGAAATTAGAGGACTTCTTGAAAGTATTGCAAAGATACAAAACTTTGAAGCAAAATTATCCCCAGAAGGCATCTTTTTGCCCAATAACAGGTTGTCTCATAAAACAAAGAATTTCACTTGTGAGTACTGCCCTCTTTTTTTTAAAAAATCAACTATTTGATGCCAGCTAGTCAACAATTACTCTAAAGCAGTGGTGGAGAACGTTTGGCCCATAAGCCATATGTTGTTAAGTGCCATTGAGTCAGTTCCAACTCATAGTGACCCTGTATAGGATTTCTGAGGAGCAGCTAGTGAGTTTGAAACACTAATCTTGCAGTTCAAACTGACCTTGCAGTCCAGCATATTTACCATATGTTGTTTTTGTTAAGGGTTGTTGAGTCAGTTCTGACCCATAGCGACCCTGTTTAGGGTTTCCAAGGAATGGCTGGTGAGCTTGAACTGCTGGCTTTGCAGTTCAAATCAACTTTACACTCCAGCACATTAACCCACAGTGCCACATCAGGACTACATTAACCATATGTTGTTGTTAAGTACCATGGAGTCGGTTCCGACTCATAGTGATCCTGCACAGGATTTCCGAGGCTGCAAATCTTTAGAGAAGCAGAAAGCCTCATCTTTCTCCCACGGAACAGCTGGTAGTTTCGAACTGCCGACCTTGAGGTTAGCAGCCCAATTCGTAACCACTGTGCTACCAGAGCTCCTTATTAACTGTATGTTGTTGTTGTTAAGTGCCATCGAGTCGGGTCCGACCCATAGCGACCCTGTACAGGGTTTCCAAGGGTGTAAATCTTTACGGGAGTAGAAAGCCTCATCTTTCTCCCGCGGAGTGTCTGGTAGTTTCAAACCGCTGACCTTAAGGTTCGCAGCCCGATTCGTAACCACTACGCTATGAAATCATTTGGTCTGGCCCTGCCAAGGCAACCACAGTTCTAGTCATCACATTAGGGGTGAGTTAATTAAATGTTTAACCAAACATAGGTTAATTTGTAATTGATAATTTTCTATGGCCTACGAATGATGTTATAAATATCCAAATGGCCCTTGGCAGAAAAAAGATTCCCCACCCCTGATCTAAAGCAAACATGAGAAGGTCACGGGGCAGGGAAACTAGATTAGTGAAAACTGAACAACCAGAGGGAAATGAGAATGTTGACATATTGTGAAAAAATGTAACTCATGTAACTGAACATTTGTGAATAAGTTGTTAAATGGGAACCTTTTTTCATTTTCACCTTTGTCAACTTTCACTGAAAACACAATAAATATTATTTTTAAACATTTTTACAGCCTAGGAAACCTCATGGAGCAGTTTTGCTCTGTCATTTAGGTTTTCTATGAATTGGAATCAACTCATTGACTTACAACAAGAACTATTCATGGGGAAATTGCAAAGATCAATCTGTATCTTTAGTGTTGGGGACCACAGAGGGTACATGAACCCTCTGAAACTGCATGCTAAGTTTTATGGGAGTATGACTCTATCTGGGAAGAGGCTCCATAGTTTACATCAGATTTTCAAAAAGGTCTGTCATCTCAGAATTGCTAACAACCTCTTGACAATCGGCATTACATTCTGGTTTGTGGGCTGTACAGATTCCACCTGCTGCTGTGTGGTGAATTCTGACTCACTTTAACCCTGTAGGACACAGTACAGCTGCTTCAGAGGCTGCACATCTTTACAGGAGCATTTAACCACTACATCACCAGGACTCCTTTCCTGGGATGCAGACCCCCTGGAACTGTGTACCCCCAAGGAAGAGATTTGCAAAGTTCAGGACCTATTAGAGTCACCTGGGAGGCTTTTCCAAATGATTTCTAACTGCCACCCATGTCCCTCCCTGTGATATTCAATCCAACCACCACTGCACAGCAAGAATCTTGTAATGAGCCACTGTTTCAAAGTGAGCTGATCATATTCCTGGAATATACCAAAGTCAAGAGGAGGGAGAACTATGCCCCCAGAGACTGGCAATTTTAGACCAAAACCCAGAAATCACAGAAGTGGGATCATCAAGATATATGGTCAGAGAAGATTTCTGGATCATCCATATGAGGCCCAGGACAGAGGGGTGACCTGGCCAAGACCACACAACAAGCTTGTGGAACAGCTGGACCAAGAGCTTGTCTTCAGCACTTTAGTTAGCTGAGCATGTTAACCATTTGCACCATGCATGGACTAGAAATGGAAGATATTGCTAATATTATTATTAAGGTGGTGGTGTTTTTCTGCTGTATCTCATGACAGTATAAAATGATAAAACATTCCTAAGAGTCAAGGTAGCGTAGTGGATTACAAACTGGGCAGCTAACTGCAAGGTCAGTAGTTCGAATCTACCAGTCACTCCTTAGGAGAAAAATGAGGCTTTCTGATCCCTTAAAGGTTTACATTCTCAGAAATCCTATACAGGCTCACTGTGGGTCGGAACTGACTCGTTGATACACCACCATCACCAGACAGGTTAAGGAAGCACTGCTAAGGTATAGTTGTTGTTGTTGTTGTGAAGTGCCATCGAGTCAGTTCAGACCCATAGCAACCCTGAATCCCTATTCAAGTTTCCAAGGAGCAGCTGGTAAGCTTGAACCACCAACCTTGCTATTCAAATGGCTTTGCAGTCTGGCATGTTAACCCACAGTGCTAAGGTGTAGTAGGGCAGGAGAATTTTATGTTCAAACAGAAAAGGTTGGGAGAAGCATCCCCATCTCCTTTGCCTGGGCCAAGAAAGAAATATTGAGCAGGGTGTGACGCCATAGGATAAGCACTGGACTGCTAACCACCTGGATGGCAGTTCCAACTCACCAGTCGCTCCTTGGAAACCCTATACAGGGTCACTATGAGTCGGAACTGACTCAGAGGTACTTAACAATAACAACAGGGAGTACTTTTAGGTGCTGCTTGAATGAGCAAAGCTTATGTTGAGTGGTGGGTGGGAATTGTGAGGGGTAGGTGATGTTCTAGATGTGAGCCAGTCCTTCTTCTGCCTAGTGACTTGTGGGTAGCAGCCCTTGCTTTTCAGAAGAGGAACAAAGACAGGGCATCTGCTGGGGCTGCATAGTGAGTCCACAGGAGGACTGACACCCAGGCTCTCTAGGCTCAGCTCTCAGGACTCTGAGGTCCATGGGACTCTGGAGGAGGAATAAATGGGAAGTGGTCTGACAGCAAATCTGAGAGGATCCAGTTTCCCCTCTTAGCCTCCAACCTGTGCAGAGGGAGCCTCTTTGCCCTTAAAAGGACTTGTTTTTACTGCCTCCCTGCTGTCTGCATCTTGCCTTCTCTGGGCCTTAGCAGAACTGTCTACACATCAGCTGCTCAGCTGATTCAGCTGGTGCAGGTGGGAGCTGGTTGCTGAGAAGTCTTACTGGTTGTGTGGGATCCCATCACAATTTACAAAACCTGGGCCCAGTGGTATTTCCCTGGGATGCAGTTTTCCCAGGATCCTGTCTTACCCCGGTGGGCTCTTCTTAGAACCAGAAAGGGACTTCTGTGGTCCCTGGAGAAACATACTCCCTAAGCCTTTTCCTGCTGAGTTGAGTGCACTTCAGAGACCTAATCTCCTTCAAAGTAATAATAGCATGGACTAGGGCCCATGCCAGATCTGGTGGCAGGCACTTTGCACGGGTGAAAGCACTTAATCCTCACAGCTACCTAATGAGGGAAATACTGGCCCCCACCACTCGCTCACTTCTAGAACTTCAGAGACCAGACAGGTCTAGGAGATTCCTAAAAAAGCCCACAGTGTGGCCAGACATCTGATGTTTATATGAGGGCTTCAAAAAGTTCATGGAAAATTTCCATGATCTTTTCACCCTATTTTCCACAAACTTCTTGAAGCCCCCCTCTTCACACTGATTTTGTAAACAGGCAGATAGGTTTCCCATATGAGGAAATTGCAGTGGTTAAGAAACTTGCCTAAGTGGTTACGAATTGGGCTGCTAAACTCAAGGTCAGCAGTTCGAAACTACCAGTGGTTCCGCGGGAGAAAGATGAGGCATTCTGCTTCCGTAAAGATTTACAGCCTCGGAAACCCTGTGCAGGGTCACTATGAGTCAGAACCGACTCCACGGTACTTAACAACAACAACAACAAGAAACTTGCCTAAGTTTGTGTAGCCAGTAAGTGGCAGTACCAGGACAATTTAGAAGGCCTTTTGCTACAAGCTGGTGTGAGATGGTGGGTGGCCTCTGGCTTTCTTCTCCACTGCCTGGCACTGAGAGCAGCAGTAGCTGAGCAGACCTCAGAAATGTGTTCAGCGTCTTCATCATGGCATTTCAAGAGGAGTGGGGATGGAGAAGGGGACACCTTAGTGTCTGGAGTGGAGTCACTATTAACTGTTTCCTTCCCTGCCCAGTCCTGGCATAAGTCCTGCTTCCGATGTGCCAAGTGTGGCAAAGGCCTCGAGTCAACCACCCTGGCCGACAAAGATGGCGAGATTTATTGCAAAGGTGGGTGGTTTTACTTCTGGTCAGGGGACCAAGGGGACTGAGGGAGTGGGGGACTTGTGTAGCTACACCCTTGCTAAATGTACATGAATTACACTTGGAATCAATTCCAGAGCATCTAGTATGGCACCTTCATTTTACAGATGAAGAACTGAAGCCCAGAGGGAGAACGTGACTTGGCCAGGGTCACGTGGCATATTGAGGCAGGGGTGGGGTTCGAACCTGGTTTCCTAACTCCCAGTCCATTTCTCTTGTAACAAATAAGGGCTTCTCTGATAATTTCAGTAGCAGGGGAGACAAAGTGTGGATTGGGATGAGGGGACTGAAGAGGATCAGGGGATCATTGGGGCATGCTTCTTCAGAGTTCTGGCCGGGCACTAGGGGTGGGACATCTTTAGTGGAAGTTGGGAGGAGGAGCATGTCCTTACTCTGTCCTCTCTTTACAGGATGCTATGCTAAAAACTTCGGGCCCAAAGGCTTTGGCTTTGGGCAAGGAGCTGGGGCCTTGGTCCACTCGGAGTGATATTACCACTGCCTGCTGTCCCCTGCCCATTCAGAGCTTTGCATCAACAACCCTTTCACAGCTGCCTCGGAGACTTCTAAGATTCTTTCTCCCTTCTCAGTCTTGCCACACATCACTAATGTCTTGAACTTGGGCCTCTGGTCCCCTTTGGTTGGCTGTTTGCCGGAGACCCCAGCATCACCAAGGGGCTCCTCCTGCTGGGAATCTGATGACATTACCAGCAGGAAACCTCAGTGTTTCTGAGCCCCACTCCCCTGGCCCTCCCCACAGACCTCTGTTCTTTAGCCTCCTGTGTGGAGTCATCACATGGCTAAGAGGCACAGCAGTAGCAGACCCAGACAGGGAGGAAAGCAGGGCCAAGATGGGGCAAGGGAAGTGTATATTGATAGAATTCCTGTAATTCTCCTTTGTGAGAAAGAGAGTGGGCTTCTTGGTGTCCCTCAGAACAGGCCTGGGAGGCCCTGCTCAGGAACTCACTAGGGGAAGGGAAAAAGGGTACAGATAGGGTCAGGACCCTTGCCTTTGAATCCATGTGGAACTAGTGACAACCCCCCTTGGGGTCGGAGAAGACAACTTAAATCCGAAGTCCCCACAGTCCAGATGCCATCTGACCTCCCTAGACATGTAGTCATTAACAGTCCCTAATGAAATGCCTCCAACACACCACACCTTAGGCAAATAGATCCAACCCTAAGCATGCGCTGGATAGGTCCACTCCATCCCATAGCACAGCCCAGGCCAGTGCTCTGTTCTTAACTATGTCTGCTTGTCACTCGGATGGGGAGGGCACACCCTCACCTTCATCTGAATACCCCTTCTCTTAGTGACTAGTCCTCAGGGCCTTCCTGCCAACCAAGGGCCTTGCCTCTTCCACTCCACCCATCTCCAGGGACCCTTCTTTGGCCACCCCACCCCCCCCCATCCCTTCCAGACCCCAGTGCAGGAGCAGCAGGAGGAAGGCGGAGGGGCTGGGCTTGCTGTTCCCAGTGACTGAGTGGACGACACTATTTGGAGCTGTCTACTGAAAGACTGTTGGCAGGGCCTGTATTCAAGCTGACTTTTCATCCAGTCAATAAAGCTGTTTAGAAAAGGACTCTGGTGTCCTGGTCCTTGGGAACATGCCACTTTCCTGGGGCTGGGAGGGCACCTGATTGGAACAAATTAGCAGAAGGCCTGGTGCAAAATAAAGCTAGTTTTTTGGTTTATTTTTTCTCTAAGGACTCCTATTTTCAGTATTGGCTCTAACTTAAAGCACACTACCTTGCCAACCAACCCCAACTTCCCACCGCAACAGTTGGGCCTGGGAATTGTTTGGCTTTGGAATTTGAGGGGCTCAGCTAGGCCCCAAGCTTGGAAAGCCCCAGAGTAAGATGGAAACTCCGCCAGAGGGACTTTTCACATCAAATCCAGAAATCTCACTTCTGCTTGGAGTGGACATGAGGTGGAGGGGACTGTCTCAGCAGCCAAGTCCATGGAAGGCCAACCGTTTTGGAAAGGACTCATCATTGTAGGGCTGCCTGTTGGAGGCCTTACTTGAAAATGTGCCCACACTGAATTTATAAAACAATAAGCAGATGTTTTAATGACAAGGCCCTGTCCAGATGCCTAGGTGCAACAGCGGCCTTGGCTCTGAGACCCACTGCCATCTAGTCGATTCTGACTCATAGTGACCCCTGTGTAGGGTTTCTGAAGCTATAAATCTTTTTTGGAACAGAAAGCCTCATCTTTTCTCCTACCGAGAAACTGGTGGGTTTGAACTACCGATCTTGAGATTAACAGTCCAGAGCTTATCCTACGGCATCAAAAGGATTCTGCAAACGGGACATAAACATATATAATCAAACATGTAAAGCAACAGTTAAGTACAAGGTGACAGAGCTGAGAGTCTTCCAGGTGGGGCTGAGGTCTAATAACCCCTCTAGGAATCCTGGTGGTGCAGCTGTTAAATGCCCAGCTGCTAACAGAAAAGTTTGCAGTTTGGACCCACCTAACACCTTTATAGGAAAAACACCCGATGACTGTTTTCCGTAAAGATTACTGCCAAGAAAACTGGGGGCAGTTTTACTGTCACATTGAGTTATTTTGAGTTGGAATTGATGCCACAGCACCAACAAAAATAACTAATTCCTCACTGGAAGTGCACCCAAAAAGGTTTGTGCAGCAGGCAGGATCTCTAGGCCTCAAAAGTGTGACCACTGGCTCCTCAGTTCTACAAACTATTTCAGGTCCACAGGAAGGGCCCACAGGCGTGGCTTGAAAGTGTCTAGTTGGTTCCAACTCAGCTACCCTGTATAGGGTTTCCGAAAACAGAAGCGTCTGGTGGGTTAGAAGCTTGTGGTTCAAACCAACCTAGTGGTACAGTGCTTTATCCTACAGCGCCACAGGTGTGGTTAAATGGCATCATCTAGGGCCCAAAACTGGAGGCAGGCTGCCCTCTGCTGGCTGCTCGGATGAATTTCTGGTCACTCCAGCAAAATGATGTACACCTAGCCTCTCCAGCACTCGTTTCCACTCGGACCACTGGTCTTTAGGGCAGTCCTATGGTGAGAGGTATGGTATTTTCAATAACCTCATATGCATGTGAAAGTTGGACAGTGAAGAAGGAAGATCATAGGAGAACGGATGCATTTGAGTTATGGTGTTGGAGGAGAATATTGAAAGTACCATGGGCTGCCAAAAGAACCTTTTGTTAGAAGTACAGCCAGAGTGTTCCTTGGAGGCCAGAATGGCCAGACTTCGTCTCTCACACTTCAGACATACCATCAGGAGGGGCCAGTCACTGGAGAGGGGTATCATGTTTGGTAAGGTGAAGGGAGGGTCAGAGAAAAAGAGGAAGATCCCCAGCAAGATGGATTGGCAAAGTGTCAGCATCAATGGGCTCAAGTGTGGCAACAATTGTGAGGTTAGGGGGACAGGGCAGTGTTTCGGAATGTTGTGCATACAATCACTGAGTCAGTACCAACTCGATGCACCTAACAACAACAAATGGTGAGAGTGGGCCAGGACACACCTCAGGGAGTGAAACTGTCCTAAAAGTGAAAGGCTGTAAGCCTGAAGCATGTGGGACCTGGAAGTACCCTTTAGGCCATGAAGGGCAAGGCTTGGCCAAGGAGGAAGGAGGAAGGGTGGAGCCCAGAATCCGCAGGCTTATCTAAGGCTGCTTGGGGTTAGGAGACACCAGGTGGTGCTGTGGGTCGGGCAAACTGCAGGCGCTCCTTTCCTTAGGACCTATTATTTCCCCCCCCACCGCATGCTCAATTACAGCTAACCCTGGATATTAGCGTTCCCAGGAAGTATTTCCAGGAAACGAATAGAGGCCTCTGGTGTACCAAATGATGGTAATGCCCCCAAAGAAGAGAACCAACAAGGATCTTTATGCCCATTCAAGTGTTTCTTTGCAGTCACTGTATTCTCCAGCGAGGTGTCCAGGGCGTCCTCAGGTGAGTGCCTTTGGTGGGAGTGTTGCCAGTCACGGGAGCGGCTGTGGCGGGGCCTCTTAGGGCGTGATGGGAAAGAGTTGCTTCTCCTGATGGGATGTAGGTGGGGCCCAGGCCTCTCAGGCAGGTCCAGCCTCCTACCTACAACAGCCCTAACACCCTGTATAGGTCACCTAAGAGGCTGGGGAGAGAAATGGGGATCAGAAGGAGCCAGACTGTGGGGTAAGGACAGGAATGGGGAAGAGTGGATTCGAACTGTTATTAGACAAAAGAGTCATCCCTGTATTAAGGACATAGGACTTTCCTTGGGAGAAGGCAGAAACTCATGAGGCCTTGGTTTCCAGAACTTCATCAGGTAAGGGTGCTTGTAGCTAGCAGTGTGGCAAGTAACCCTCAGAGAGAACTACTCAGGGTTCACACCCCCTGGTAATGAGAATCTGTGAGGGTTCCCAGCCTCACCCCCTGGAAATTCTGATTCAGTTAGGCCTGGGAGGGGCCTGGGAATCTGTATTCTAAACAGATCCTTAGGCGATGCTGATGCTCAGTCAGGCATGAGGACCTGAGGACTCATCCAGCTGCCACCCTTCTGCTTGCAGCCAGCTCACTGCCCCACCCCGTAGCTGGTGCCGCCTCTGAACAGTTCTAATGATTAGAGAGGACTTCCTGGAACTTCCTATTTCTGTCCCCTAGAGTCATCCAGAACAAGTCTAATCCCTCTCCTGGATGACAGCCCTTCAGAGATGTTCAGGCAGCTGCCCAGCCCTCTGAGCCTGCTCTTCTCCTGGACAGAGACCCTTGGCCTTTCAGGGGCTCCAGATTGAGGTACAAGGGAGAACATTGAAGGAAGAAAAATGCACCCAGGGGTTGGGGGTCCTGAGTGGACTGTCTAGGGATCAGAGAAACTGATTGAGGGTTTGTGATAAGTCAATGGGGCAAACCTGAAGCAGCTCCCTCTGAAAGAGACCCCCTCACCTGAGCTCAACTTCCCAGACCCCAGCCTTCCTCTTTTGGACATATTGGGGGTTTCATTCATCCATCTTGTGTACATACTACATGCCAAAGTCTATCCAGACTTTAAGTGTGTTAATTTGTTTTATCCTCACAATAACTTATGAGGTACTATCATGATACCAATTTACAAATTATCAAACTGAAGCTAAGAAGCAAAGAACAATTCAGGATCTTGCTGAATGTCAAATGGCAAAAGCAGGATATACACACAGGCAGTGGGGTCCAGATCCCAGTCCCTTCATTGCTGCCCCTGACATTCTTCTCTTTAGAAGAAAGTGTCAAGTATTGGAGTGGTGTGGTATGGTGTGTGTGCACGTGCACACACCATACCAGTGAATGAAAGCTTGAGCATTTATTTGTGCAAGCTGTCTGCCTGGCACTGACCTGGGTATTGTCTTGCCTGATGCCCACCTGGACTCTATGAGGAGGCTATATATATATCATCCCTTTATCACAGATGAGGAAAATGAGATTCAGTGAATTCTTTGTAAGTAACTTGCTCAAAGCCACTGGCAAGTACTGGAACCAGCTGTGTGACTTTGGGCCATCCTC